TTGGTACGTAGTCCCTGATTGGGACTATTATTTGGTCCCAGTCGGGGTATACTTTTTTGTCCAACTTTCTCCAAATTGAAATCCGATTGAACCGTTGGGGTCAGACAAACAAACTCTACACATTGATATAATTTTCATTATTTATTGACAAACTTTAGAATTTACTTATTTTTGGGTTCTTCTGAGTAATTAATTAATTATAAATTAATTAACTCTGATAGGCCTATTTTTAGGGCGTTATATATGCTCTAAATATCTACAGGCTTTGTTTTGGGTATGCCGCAGCCCGTATTCAGAAACGTAGATTACGTACATAGGATTTGTCACTACTCTTTTTAAGAGATTAATGTCTTATGGGGCCCACTGATAAGTTATGACTGAGGAAATTGCATGGCCATGCTGAGATGCTTTTATGACGTCTGTTCCTATTAGTCAGACTTGATAAATTAGTGAATGACTTAATGGATACAAATTGGATTTTATTCATCCCTTGCATTAAGTTTAGACATTGAGACAAAGGGATACACTTACACGGAGTGTGAGTCGTGGAAAGGTTTTGACGGTGCAAACGTCTTAACTTATAATCTGGGGGTAATAATGTGTTGCTAGATACCGCTTATTTCTTATAGTATTGGTGCAGAGCCAATACTGTGGCCAGCTTTATAAGTGCCTATACGGGTCACACACTTAATGTTATATCTAAGCTCCAGGTTTGTCGGTATTAAGCTCGGATTTAAGGAACAAGCTCCTTGTTTTGCGAGAAGGGTGGATAATCGATTGTCCAAGTAGGATAATCGATTGTCAAGTGATTCAGTTTCTCAGGAGGAACTTCAGAAGTTCAGGAGAGGTAAACAATCGATTTACAAGAAGTGACAATCGACTATGGAAGGTTGCAGATTTTCTGGGGATGAGCGATGGTCGATTATCTTAAAGGGGTAATTGATTATTACTACCTGCGGGTGTTTCCAATGGAACTGATAATCGATTTTGGGGAATGATAATCGATTATTTGGCAGTGATTCTGGACAAGAAGAAGGGCGTTTTTGTGGGGAATGGGTTGGAAATATATGGGGATGATGAAGAAGTTCTTTTGGTATTTTAATAGAAGAAAAGAGTAAGGTTAAGGAGAGAAATGGGGAGGATATGAAATGGGAGAAAAACAGGGATGGATAAACCAAGTTGGTGTTTAAGAGATATGACACACTTAATCAAATATCTAGAACCTAAAACTCACACTTAAGATAACCACTCTTAAGATATAGAATTAGGAATTTGGCTAAAATAGCATTGCACTATTTTAATAATACTCAAAGAGTAAAATGTTTTAATATTCAAAAGATTGTGTTACAATGGCCATAAGGCCTGAGTTATATAGGCAGGGGAAGGGGGAAATAATACACAATGCAATGAATGTGAACATGAGGAAGCTTCCTAGCAACATCCACTTCCAAAGCATGGGCAATCTTCATCCAATCCTGTCTCCTTAGTTGGGTTATTTGTGGGGGAACATGGGCATGGATTAGTGGTTTGTGGTGGGTCAGGATTTTGGCTCTTTGTGGGTGTTTATGTTGGGATTGTGAGGTTTATTTGGCCAGGAAATAAAAGGAAGGATGGGAAGGTTTTACTTGTTTATTTAAAGGCTTAAAAGAAGGAAAATAACAACAAGAAAAAAGGTTTTGGTTTACACTTTCTTATTTTTGGCCATGGGCTAAAAATAAGTGTAGGAAAACTTTACTTTGGAAAGGAAAATGCTTTGGATGTTTAGGGTTGGGTTGGACAGAGTTGGGGGTTGGCCAGCGGAACCCTCGGGTTAAAATGACGGTCATTTTAGCCTTTCGGAATTTAGGACCTTGGAGTTCAAACTAAAATGGGTCATAATATTTGAACATAAGTCCTTTGGTTTCCCTGAGGGTGTGGGACATGGGGGAGGGTAGGATAGGGCCAGGCCCAGATATAACATCCTCCTGGTCTTCAAAAGAGTTTGCCCTCAAACTCAACGGATAATCAAGACGGTCATATGGACTAAGGTCTCTCTTATTGAACCTGGCAGAAACTCCATCACTTCTACTAAGGGCAACCGTGTAGGAATTGTTTTGCCCTTGGCTACCACTTCAAATGGACCATCGTCTCGAGGTTGAAGCTTTGCCTTGCGTTTTCCAGAGAAACGCTCTCTTTGCACATGGACCCACACTAGGTCTCCGGGCTGAAAGTGGATGGAATTTTTCAACCCCTTTCTCTTCAAAAGCTTTTCACGAGTCTTATGATAAAACTCAGAAGTTTCTTCATCACATGGAACCTGCAAAAACTTAACAAACTTGGCACGAGGTACTGTTACTAAAGATAGCCTTTGAGGTGAGGCTTCCACATCTTGGCTCATAGCTCCACATTGAAATTTCTTCTCATCAACTCGCACGTTTAAGCTAGTTAAGCCATAGCCTAAGAACTCATCTTTGGTGGCAGCAACATCCTTCTTCTCTAATTCACCATTGGGTGTGTTTTCACCTAAAATGATATGAGCCTGTGGTCTTATCCCTCGGTGAGACGTGCGCACGGGTAGGAGTAAACATGCCGAAGCATCTTTTCTCAATGAATCCACAAAATTAGGTGTCCCTGGCATGTCAATGTGTAATAAAGAAAATATACGTAATTCCACTCGTAATTCTCTTCCATGGTTGAACCACTCAATGGAACACGATTTCATGAGGGGTTTGATTCCAAGCTTATTTTGATTAGCCCAACTGCTCAATGGTCTATCCATGATCATGAGTTCATGTTCTTCATGGATTTGAGCCTTCACATCATTTAGTGCTTCCTTAAATCCCGATTTTGATTTCTCCCTTTCAACCAATGGTTTCAAATTCTCATTATTAGCATAACAGCCAATCTCTTGACAATGAAAGCAATCGGGAGTCTTAGGAATGGATGGGCAGGTTTTTGGTGGGGGTATGACCATGGCATTCGGTGGAGAGGCTATGGTTTTGTGGGGGTTTTGAGCGGTGGAAGTGGAGGTGGTTCTGGGGGTGTTTTGGGCAGTTTCTGGAGGGGTTATAGACAAGGGTTTAGGAAAGTATTGAGGTAGAGTTTTGGGGTTAATTTGGGCAGTATTCAAGGAAGGAAAGGAGATGGTTTGTGAAAACTTTTGGGGCAGGGGTGATAAATGGGTATTTGGATCATTTTGGGTAGTAGCTAGGGATGGAACATAGATGGGTTTTGAGGAGTTTTGGGGCAGGGGTGTGGTAAGGGGTGTTGGGTTAGTTTGGGCAGTGGCTAAGGAAGGTAAAGAGGTTGTTTGAGTAGGAATTTTGGGTAGGTGTGAGGGAGTTGGGTGAGAGATGTTTTGGACAGCATGGATGCAAGGTAAAGAGGGAACTTTAGAGGGAGTTTGAGTGTTGAAGATGGTGGTGGCTTCGGGAATGATTTGGGTAGCGTGAGAATTCTGCGAAGATCTGGATTTGGAGGAGGTTAAGGTTGTGGGAGAGAGGGCAATATGGAGTGGCTTTTGTTGGGAAAAATATCATAGATTTTGAGGATGATGTATTTAGAATGTAATAGGGACTTTAGGTCTCCCCCAATATTCAATGTAATTTTTCTTTTTAGAAATATTGTTAAAACCAAGTTCTTGAGATTTCCAATAAGGTTGTGATATTTCTTTAAGCGTTTTGATGCCTGAAGACCTAATCCAATTCAGTGATATGGAAATTGGATATCTTGATCGGAAATGTCAGAGACAAGTAAGGATTTCTCAAGCAGATGAAAATCTTCTGATCCGGAAGACTACCTAAGAACCGGATGTCTCGCTACAACCCGCTGAAGGCTAAGTCATCCAAATCGGAAGACTAGCGCGGATCTCTTTCTCACCCAGAAGTCTGAGAATGACTCCTCCGGATTTGTCAACTAAGAACCGGATGCCTCAGGGAAGACCGGAATTCTCAAAAAGCGGACAAGTGAGAAAGGACTTAGAAAATTATCTAAGTCTTGAATGAAGAAATTCTACCCGTTGGTAAGGAAAAATCAATCTCTTGATTTTCAACGGTTAGATTGAAGATAATTATGCTAATTCAAGAACAAATGACTCGAAGACTAAGTCTGAACCTCTAAGAATTGAAGAACCTGTCTAGAATTCCTAAACAAGCACTAGAAGACAAACATAGTAAAGTTCTACAGTCCAGAATACTTGAACAACAGCTAGAAGACGGACTCTATGGAAAAATGAATCTCTCCTTTAACAAATGGGTATGTCCAAACACCCATTCCAATGAGGAATCTTCAAATCACAATCTTCATTCAAAATTGAAGCCAGCAAATGCAACGGATAGTCTATTATGATTCAACGAATAGATTATCCAATCCAGCTATAAATAGCATCCTTGGAAGACTGGAGAAAAACAATGAGATACAACAACACAACGAAGCAATCTCTAACAACAAAGCTATCTCATTCACAGTTAGCCCAAAAAGCTTGATAAAGAGAGATTTCTAAACTCCTTATCCAGAAGCAAACTTCTCCCCCATCCAAAGAGCTATAGTGTAAACACTTGAAGGTTTCCTTGCCTCAAGCACCACACCACGTTGAAGGATATTACTTTTGATCAAACTTATTGATTAAAAGGGGGTAGGTCAACTCTCTTACAAAGTTGATCTTGCAAGTCCTATTGTTCGGACCTTGCAGTTGTTGAAGAAGCTTGACCTTCGAAGGAACAACAAAGCCAGCACGAGTGCAGTAGCAACATTGGTCTTGTGAAGATATACCGTGCAGAAATTCACACAAGTGTAATTGTTGGTTCATTATTGAACAACCAACTACATAGTGGGATTTGAGGACGTAGAAGGATTACCCCACCTTCGAACCTCGTTAAAGTTTGCGTGTCTCTCTCTTTTATCTTTATTCCCACTTGCAATTATATTAACTGTGAAAACTAACTCATCCATATTGATTACTGCTCACTCTACCCACCAAATTCCGCACACAATCTAAAGTTCACAAGGACTCTAGATTAACACTCATTTTCACGTTTTCAAAAGAAACGAAAAAGATTTTAAATCTGTAACAAAGTCTATTCACCCCCCCCCCTCTAGACTTTGTATTTCACCACTTTGGGACCACCAATTGGTATCGGAGCTAACTTCTCACTATCTACGTTTAGATTAACGAGAAGCGATCATAATGGTGAACAATATGGATCACGGTTTGCCCAAGTTTTCTCTCTTAGGTTATGATGAAGGAAGAAACCTGGAAAACTACACTGTTCAAGGTCTCCTTGATGAACTCAGAACCTATGAGCATGAGCTGAAAAAGAAGGAAGAACAAGTCACTCCCTTCCCCACGGCATTGATGACAACTTCAAGAATTCCATCAAGTGAAGGGACATGCACAAGAAACTGTGACACACCTTCCTCCAGCCATCCGTCAAGCTCAAAAATGGAGAACTACGAAGAGGAATTTGCCATGATGGTCAAACAATTCCGGAAGTTCAAGAAGTTCTTCAAGAAGGCTGATTCAATCAGAAGGCCATCCAAGGGAAAGCCACAGGTAAGTGACTCCCCTCCTGAATCTTATTTATGCTATAACTGCGGGAAGCCTGGCCACTGGAAGTCAGCATGCCCGTACCCAAAAGTGGAGAAGTACTGAGAAAGAGAAAGGATCGAGAAGAAAAAGAAAGCAATGGTTGCTGCTGAAAGTGACGAGTCATCCAGCTCAAGCTCGGATGAAGAAGCCCTCGTCTGCATGGAGCGCAGAGTTGAGAAGTCCAACCATGAGGATAGGTGGACTATGTCAGAAGATGACACTCTCTGCCTAATGGCCAAAGATGATGCTGATCAAGAGGTAACCTCACAAACCTCCTGCTCATCTTCTTAT